GCGTAAAATAGAAGTGATAAAATTGCAAAGGAGACAATACAAATAAATTAATATGGGAGTTGACGAAAGTAAAAATTGTAAATTATCCGAAGATACCGTAAATTATTATAAAAATAGCTTTGCGCGGATTGAGTCTGACTGTTTGTTCAAGCTAGGCTTAATTTCTTTTATAAAAAGCATCTCGTAAATTAGGCAGTCCAGTTTACTTTGCATTTCTTCAGGATTTTGAAACTGTGATGCAAGTCACTTGGGGTAAGCCCATGGCGCTCTTTAATGTGGTTCCGGATTGAAGACTGAGATGCTTTGTGTTCTTCAGCACGTTGGTAGAGGTTCCAGCATGTATAGCCGACATGGTTTGCATCGCACAGATGCAGACTATGTCGGCTGCCTAATTTACGAGATGCTTTTTATAAAAGAAATTAAGCCAAGCTTGAACAAACAGTCAGACTCAATCCGCGCAAAGCTATTTTTATAATAATTTACGGTATCTTCGGATAATTTACAATTTTTACTTTCGTCAACTCCCATATTAATTTATTTGTATTGTCTCCTTTGCAATTTTATCACTTCTATTTTACGCATAGCGTTTACATATTTCCATATTTTATCGCCTTTATCATTCTCACGATTTGAATTTGGTACATATATGTAAAAGTTTTCCTTTTCATCAGCTTGAAAATGACCTCAACGAGGTTGATACGTCGTTCAAAATTATTATCACTAATTTTTATCTTGAACAGCTTTTCTAAAAAACTACTTATCAAAATCTTCCCATCATTCACCCCGATCCTAGTTCCACCGAAGTTTAGTAACCAGTGGAATTTCAAGCTTCTTTTGAGCTTTTAAATGTAAAAATAAATTTCATTTTTATTCCTTGTCATTAATCTTGGTTCAATTACGAGGCATTAAAAGTGTTTTTTGAGAGATTAAGGAAGTCTTGGACAACCAGGAAAAAAAGAGGTTTTAACTTGAGATCATATATAACAAGGACTGCGCGAAAACGTCACGTGGATTGTGTTACCCATGACGTAGTCCACAACGAAATTTGATGGGTTCGGAGATAATTATACGATTTAAGTCCTTTTAATCATAGCTTGCGTCGCATTTGTTCGATTTAAACTTAACTACGAGGAGTCCCTCCTTTTCGGCGAAGTTCGTCTTGCGGAGTCAAAAAAAACAAAAAAGAGTTAAAAAACAAATAAAGATTAACGCGCCGCGCTGAAGTTTGGATGTGAGGTGCCTTACGCGACGGAATTCGTCGACGACTTGCAGAAAAGGATAGACTGGTTGTACTCTAGATTTAACCAGGGTGGAACGATTCAGACCAGCACGCGCTAACGAGAGCCAGTTGTGCGTGAAGGTCAGTCACTGCGTTTCTCTCGCGCGTGTTACTCGCTTACTGTTCGAGTGCCTGCTACTTAAATTATTTGTGTCAACGAATTCTGAATCGTACCTTTATTGGGTTCACGCACGTAATATCTGTTTTCACTTCTAACAAAGTGATCTGGTTTTGCTTCCCTGGTCCGGTTGTTCAATTCGCATACACTGCGAGACCAATCGTAGTTGTAGCTTTGGCACCTGTAGTCAGAAACGCACGCCTCTTTACAGTCAAGTGACAATGGTCTGGCCTTGAATGTCTTAAACGTATGGCCCTTGAGCATCCTTTGATAGATAGAGTAACTGTCTATGCCGCATTGCTGAGTGTTCAGTTTGGGAAACATTAAAAACAAAAGAGATAGTGGTAAAAGAAATACCATGATCTTTCACTGAGATGTGAGTTTCCAATGAAGACGCTCCCTGTTGAAGAAAGTGAAATGGAAGGAGTGATGTACATTTGTTACTGTTCAGTTCTGAGAACCAGTGAGAATCTTTTGTAATCCTCTGCACCTCTTGGGCTAATTTCAGACAAGAGAGAATGAGGCATAATATGGTTTCAGAAAAAATAACCGAGTAGATCGTCTTCCTAGAAGGTGTCATTGATAAAAGGAATTAATTGCCTATTCATTCTTGTCACTACTTAGTCGGTTCTTCGAAGTAAGACTAAGACTAGAAAAATCTTTGTTTGAAGCTTTCCAAGATTCACTGAACTGTTTATATCTGTTCACTCGCCCATCTGAACTAGGTTAGGTGAAAGGTGAAAGGTTTATACGATACCTTAATAGGTTAAGGTAATGTTAAGGTTTTACAATGTTATTAAGGTTGACATCGGACGTCAGCATTCTCAGGCGCCTCTAGCAGCCGCTTCAGTCCATATTAATCTCACCTTCCCACCTATCCCACCCCAGGGGAGGACATCCATCGCACAGTAACCTCGTGCGTGGGAAATTAACCTCTTCTACCCCCCTAATTCTGCAGGAGACAGGA